CTCTGCAACTGCCTCCACTCAAGTGGTGTTCCCCAGACTCAGTTGGAGAGGTGAGGGAGTCCACTTCCATTGGGATGCCCTGTTGCTCCCATGCTCCACTTGCTGCATTTTGTAATGACAAAGCCAGTAGTAGTGCCTGTTTGAAGTTCAGTTGGGCTTCAGTTAGTAGGTGTTTCTGCATGGTGACGTCATTAATCCCATTTACCAAACAGTCTCTCCGCATCTCATTCAGTGTTTACCCAAAATCACATGCCTCTGCCACCTTGTAAAAAATCCCGACACGGATTCCGCTGGTTCTCTAACAGCCAAATAAAACCGATAGCATCTCAGAATGACAGGAGGTTTGGGGTTGTAATATTCCTTAACCAACTCTGTCAATTCTTGGAAGGTTTTAGTGTCTGGTGTCTCCTAGAAAGTTAAGCCCCTTATAACCGAGAACGCTACGGATCTGCAAGCAGTCAGAGGATTACTCATTGCTTTTCATCTGCCTCAATGTCATTTGCCCAGAAAAAGATATTGCATTCTTTTGACATACTGGGCCCAGTCTTTGACAGCAGCATCAAATGACTCAAGCGTCCCAAATAAAAACATAATGCCAGAAATGCTTACCCCAACTCCAAGATGATTGTAGCAAGCACATGTTCTCCAGACATCTCCAGACAGATGGCAAAAATGCCATCCCCTGTTCCCAATTCCTTTGCCTCCGCCGCATCTGCTCCCGAGATGAGGCATTCCACTCCTGGACATCCCAGATGTCCTCGGTTTTTCAAGGACCGCAACTTCCCCTCCACAGTGTTCAAAAACGCCCTCGACTGTGCCTCTCGCATTTCCCGCAACTCATCCCTCACACCCCCTCCCCGCAATAACAACCAAAACAGAATCCCCCTTGTCCTCACGTACCACCCCACTAACCTCCGGATCCAATGCGTCATCCTCCGGCACTTCCGCCATCTGCAATCTGACCCCACTACCAAAGACATTTTTCCCTCCCCACCCTTATCTGCTTTCCAGAGGGACCGCTCTCTCCGTGACTCCCTCGTCCGCTCCACACTCCCCTCCAGCCCCACCACACCCGGCACTTTTCCCTGCAACCGCAGGAAGTGCTACACCTGCCCCTACACCTCCCCCCTCACCCCCATCCCAGGCCCCAAGAAGACCTTCCACATCAAGTGGATGTTCACCTGCACATCTGCTAATGTGGTATACTGTATCCACTGTTCCCAATGTGGCCTCCTGTACATCGGGGAAACCAAGCGGAGGCTTGGAGACCGCTTTGTGGAACACCTATGCTCGGTTCACGACAAATGACTGCACCTCCCAGTCGCGAACTATTTCAACTCCCACTCCCACTCCTTCGTTGACATGTCCATCCTGGGCCTCCTGCAGTGCCGCAATGATGCCACCCAAAGGTTGCAGGAACAGCACCTCATATTTCACTTGGGAACCCTGCAGCCCAATGGTATCAATGTGGACTTCACAAGCTTCAAAATCTCCCCTCCCCCTACCGCATCCCAAAACCAGCCCAGCTCGTCCCTGCCTCCTTAACCTGTTCTTCCTCCCACCTATCCCCTCCTCCCACCTCAAGTCCCACCCCCCACCTCCTGCCTACCAGCGTCATCCCGCCTCCTTGACCTGTCCGTCCTCCCTGGACTGACCTATCTCCTCCCTACCTCCCCACCTACACTCACCTTTACTGGCTCCATCCCCGCCTCCTTGACCTGTCTGTCTCCTATCCACCTATCTGCTCCTTTATCCATCTTCCATCCGCCTCCCCCTCTCCCTTTATTTATTTCAGAATCCCCTTGCCCTCCCCCATTTCTGAAGAAGGGTCCAGACCCGAAACGTCAGCCTTCCTGCTCCTCTGATGCTGCTTGGCCTGCTGTGTTCATCCAGCTCTACACCTTGTTATCTCTGTTCTCCAGACATGACCTGTTTTCTCTTGTTGCCACTGAAATAACTGCACAGAGGCTGGCATCCCATCACTAAGTCCCCCTTTATTTACTTGTGTACAGTACACTGGCTGCGGCCACCCAGCTCGGAGTCAGTCTCCCTGAACTGAGGAGATTCTCATCCCTTGGTTAATTTAGTCAGCCAAGGCTTTCCTGATTGGCCAGGTTAACAACACCAATCAATGACCTCGTAGCCAACGAGGTCAACCTGGTTCCAATCACTACAGTGCAAATCAAATTAATTTTAAATTATCTCAATTCCTTTTCAATTGAATATTCTATTTGTGAATCACTTTGGAACACCTTTAAATGCCTTGAACATTGAACTACCTGTAATCCGGCCCATCAAAATTCAGAATATGGATGCTTTACAAAGGTCTGCCACAAATGTCAACATATGTACAATGCACATGGTCAGCATCAAATCTTGAAAGATGGTTTCTGCCAATGCAGTAGCACTGCAGAAACAGTCATCAGTGCTCAAGGAAACAAATAGGAGACACAAGTGACATGAACCCACTGGGAAGTTTCATCTGGACTGGCACCTGTGCCCTAGTCCAGAGCAGACAGTTGTGTTGGTGCTTCATCATAACAACTGCATGGGGAAAGAATGCAAAATTTACTTTAGGAATGGTGACTTACCCGTGGACCCCCCACTCAAGAATCAGGTGAGATATTTGGAAAGGTCCATCTTGACATCAAGATCATCTTGTGTCATTTTGTTTGTTTTTCTCCAACAGATTGGAGAGATTCCCAACACGTAGCTCCGAGTTCCCAACGTCTGCTCCATAGCACGTTCAGTGCCTTCTTAACAGGCCAACTTGCCACGGGTTACAATCTTACTAAACTCACTATGAAAACTAGCTACCATGAAAACTCGCTTTGGCAACCAGAAATGGGTTGTTCAACTTGCCACCTATTCCAGAAGATGCCCACTTCAGATATTAAGCACCAACAGATTCTGCACACTCCATGAGTACCAGCCACACTTACCCTACATCTACAGACCCTGGCATCTGAAATGCCAGCCCCTACGAATCCTAATGACGCATGTCCAATCCCTTACAGAATATTTCTGGACTTCAGTGATGCACCATGGGCTGCAATAACTACTATCATTGTAATGTTGCCACAAGGCTACAGTGCGCTCAGGGACACATCCAGCTATGGAATGTACCAAACTGCAGGCTTTGTCCTTATTGTCACAGCACTCACTCATCCTGAGCCTACTTGGATGTCACAGCATTCCTGGATGGCATTGCCTTGCCTTGCCTTTTTGCACATTTCCCCATCCTCCAGCCAGAGATACCAGGCTCATGTTGCTATTGAGTTGCAATGCCATTTAGCACAGACACAAAGCCAGAAAGCTTGCCATGGCTGTCAGCAGGCCTCACTCCCATCAAGGGGGATAACCTTTGCTCAGGTCCCAGCTCAGTTAGTTAATGGCAGCTTCCGAAAACAGTCCAAGCTTTGCTCTATGCAGTCAAAGTCAGGATCCTCTGCTGTTAAGAGGTGAGAAGCCGGATGAAGATCTTTTTTTGCCCTATCATGGCCTGACTGTTCCATGATTGAGAGTTGAGTATTCTGGAAGATTTAAGTGTGTGGTACAGTTGTTACTATTGATGTAGGTGGAGAAGTTTCTCAAACGAGTGAGGAGGTAGCAAAAACAAATTGCTGGAAAAGCTCAGCTGGTCCGGCAGCATCTGTGGAGACAAATCAGAGTTAATGTTTTGGGTCCAGTGACCCTTCCTCAGAACAGTTCTGAGGAAGGGTCTCGGGACCTGAAACGTTAACTCAAGTGACAATTAATGTGTAAGTTTGGTAAGATAGTGCGAAAAAACACATTTGTCCTTGCGGTGAAAATCTCTTCATTAAACTTGATGTGATTTGCACTTTACCAAAAGAATGTTAAGAGTTAGTGCATTGTTTTTGTCATAAATATAAATGAACACTGTAATTCAGCTGATTTGAACTGTTGGATCAGCAATATGGCTATTTAAAGCAAATGATCATCAGCAAAAGGGGTACTACATTTAACACTGAAACAAAAATAGAAATTGCTGCAAAAGCTCAGAAGGTCTGGCAGCATCTGTGGAAAGAATTCAGAATTAACGTTTCAGATTGAGTGACCCTTTCTTGAAACTCGTAATATTGATACTGTGTTGAAGTATTGACTTTAGTTTAAGCCATTTCTCAACTGGTTAAATATGGAAACATCTGCATTGTTTAATTATTTCAGTACTTGTGTTCCAAAATGTTTCAGGGGTACTATTGTTTTAATTACTTAATCAGTTACCAAGTACTAGCAAGAGAGTGTTCTCCAGTATCTATTTGTCAATCTCTGTTTGGCTCTGAGTTAGTTAGTTCTCCTAACCTAGATGCAAAATCAAATTAAACATTAGAGAACATCATTCCCATCTCAAACCAGTCTGTCCTTTTCCATTTGGACAGCAACTTCCAGAAAACAAAACGGTGTTTTTGTGTAATACCATTAGGATATGCAAGGACATGATTATAATAGCTTCTGTAAGCATTTACTAATCTTAAGTTGTTTTTAAAAACCATCACAATTCAAACACTATTTTTTGATGCTTAAGCTAACCTCTCATAGCATTTTAACTGATGGAGCTGTTACAAATATTGACTGTTATTGTTTTTACAAAGTATCAGTATGTGATAATATTGTTGCATTCTCTAAATTTGCATTACACATTTCTTGAATATATTTTGAGTGGCTTTTAAGTAATCTAGTTTGTGTGAATTAAATTAAGTTTTTCTCTACATGTGAAATGAGGTTGTTTTTGGCTAAAACTTGAGTGTGGCATTCAGTGGAATGTGACTAATGCACAGCATTTACAAATGTATGCACTGCTTCTAACTGAAACAAAGCTCTATTTTATAACCGTCAAAGAACCTTTTGTGATTATCAGAAATAAAGTGAAAAGCTGTCACTTTCATTATAAAGTTTGACATTCCACAGATGGTCTTTTAAGTAATGAAGTTAGCTTTTTCCTTATCCATGGTGATCATCTTTGCTTGTCCCTAAAACAGTCACCAGCTGATGCGCAAGTGTTGGACACGTGAACCCCACAAGAGGCCATCATTCCAATACATTGAAAGCTGCCTGGAATACCTGAAAAGCAGCCCCCAAGACCGTCAGAATGCCCTTGTGCTCTACAATGATGACTACAGGAATAGTGACATCTCCCAGGGTATTGTCAATCAAGCATTTGAAGGTAAATACTCCATGCTTAGACTGAACAACTAACAGCATTGTAATCCCTAAATGGGAAAGAAGGATAACATAGCTTTGTCCCTTTTAAGGATTAGAAATGACAGCTTTGTGTTTCTAAGCAGTGTAGTTGGGAGATAGCATGACTGTCCTTAGCCTGATGGGAATTGATACAAATTGGATGTTAATTCTATTGTTGATTCTATTGTTTTATTATCCAATTGAGTTGTGAGTCCAGAGTGCATCTTTCAAGAGAACATTCACCAGTTGTTTGTTTAAGTTGAGGCCTATAGGCAACACTATCCAAGCACTTGCATTCCCAGGTAGCCTGTCCACCATACTTCCTGCAGTGAGGGTTTTATGAGAAGATCAGCAGCCAGCAGAGTACTTGCCTTTTTACAGCAGGGTGTCGTGGTTACTGTGTCCCAGTGATTGACAGGTGTTAAGGAGGATGACAGGGTGACTTTTACATTTGTGTGGTGGCTACTGTCAAGAATTTTATTCCCACACTGCCCTTTGTCATTCTTGGTACATTGGGTCTCCCACTGTTGCTATTGCAGATGCCAGACCACTGTGGAGCTATAGTATAGATACATTTTATCAGAAATAATAGTGGTCTTGGGTCATTGCATCATGGAATGTAATTCTAATGGTCTATAGCAGCTGTCCTCTTATCAGTTATAATTCTTCACAGAAGAAATAATGATACTGATCACAAAATTTCTTAATCTTAGATTGGTTTGTGTATGTATGTGTCTTTGTAAGTTGGCTGCCTTCCTACTAATTCCAGAAAATGCTATGATACCACAACTTTTGTTTACAGACGAAAGTGCCTAAAAAGGAAAATGAAAGAACTTGCATTTGCACGGCACCTTTCACAGCCTCCAAGCTTCCCAAAGCACTGTCTAGCCAATGAAGTACTTTGGAAGTATCACCATTATGTCTATATAGGCTGAAGAATATCTCTGGTTAGCTATGGATTTGTCTCAATATGCATAATAAAACTATATACTGTCTTTGTAAACATTTACAGGATTTCTAGCTTTCAAATGTGGAGATGAAATAATTTCAGAACATATCTTTTGTAATTTATACCATTCTCTAAGTATATTTGAGCTAAGAAAGTAATTTTTTGGCAGTTTGCTTCCATAAATTAAACAGCTAGATAGGATTTGGCCCAAAATCAGACAGCTGGGATATCTCTAAAGAAGTTCCAAATAGCCTTAGCAGATCTGAACGATGAAGGGGAAAAATGATCTAGGATTCCCTTTCTTGATAGCTATTTGGTACATTTGCATACTGAAAGCTCTGTGCGTTTATTTAGGTGGGGATGGATTCAACCTGTCCTGGATGCCTTTCACAGTTAGAAAGCTGAGTAAATTGGACTGTCACATGAAGAACACATACTGGGTCCATTCTCTTGGTGAGGGTGCAGACTAGATTTACCAGAATCGTACTAGGACATGGTGATTTAAATATAAGGTTAGTTCGGAGAATTTGGTGTTGCTCTGCTGAACGCAAAAAAAAAAGATTGAGGAGAGATTTCATCATGGTGCATATAATTATATCAGCTTTTGGTACAGTAGACAAGGAAAAACTGTTTGTATTAGGACAAAGGGACACAGATGTAAGGTTTTGGGCAAGAAACAGAGATGAAAAAATTGTTTTTTTTGCTGTAACTGCTAATGGCCTGGAATTTGCTGCCAAAATGTGAGTTGGAAACAGAGATGATCAAAAGGATTTGAATGGGCACTTGAAAGAAATAAATTTTCAGTGATCATAGGAATAGTATAGTAGGACTGACTGGATTGCACCACAGAAGCTGACATAGACTTGATGGGCTGAATGGCCTCTTTCTGTGCATTTAATGATTGGCTTTTTCCTTATTTATAATGAAGTCATGGATTTCACTTTGGAGAGCTGCTATGAGTAGACCGCCTGGCTATTGTCTTTCCTTGTAAATATTTGGAAGAATTATTCAGAATGCTTACTACTTTGTGCTGTTTCTCAATGTCAAGCCTGGTTTGATTTTTTTGCATCTCTTCCTTAACTGCCCTCTTGCTGTTGTTGTGATTTGTTGCTGCACTGAGCTTTAGTGGCTGTGCCTCTTTCCACATCCCTATTCCCCTTTGATCATCCTTCCAATGTATTTCTGTATTTGATCAGACTGTTCTCAATTACAGCCCTCTCTATTTCTGTAGCATTTGTACAGATGAGTTTTCTTTAGCTACAATATATTTATGGTACATGCTCAATATCACAACTTTTAAAAGGTGTTTGTGTTGTTAAGCAACTTTTCACATTAATTTACTTTGTGTTTCATTTTTAAAGTTATATTCCTGACTCATCATCTTGGCTGCTTACAACTTCAATTTTGCTGCATCTTCTGGCTTCCACTTTCAGCCAAAATGATCAACTTGATATTTAGTGAAATTGTGAATCAACGCTGTTTAATTTGGTGCTTGTCCTTTCCAAACATAGATGAATGTATGAATCCAATTAGCTATATTACTTAACACGTTGGCTGAGAAATTAGGCTCATTAGCACCCAATTGTTGGACACTGTGCCTGAGAGATTCAAAATTACATTTGCGGGGCTCAGCACATTTATTGGGCAAATTGCAACAGATAAGGTATTGCTGAAGGCATCAACACATGTGCATTGACCTTAGCATTCCAGTTTAACAAACAGAGATTTCTAGATAACACAGTGGAACAGGAGGAACACAGCAGGCCAGGCAGCATCAGAGGAGCAGGAAAGTTGATGTTTCAGGTTGGGATCCTTCTTCAGAAATGGGGGAGGAGGAAGGGAGCTCAGAAATAAATAGAGAGGAGGGGTGGGACTGGGGAAGGTAGGTGGGATGGTGATAGATGAGTGCAGGTAGGGAGTGATGAAGATTGGTCAGTGAGGTGGGAGGAGCGGATAGGTAGGAGAGAAGATGGACAGGTTGTTTCAGGTCAAGGAGGCACGGATGAAGGGGACAGTTGGTCATGGGATGAGGCCAGGGGTGGGGAGATTTTGAAACTGGTAAAGTCCACATTGAGACCATTGGGTTGGAGGCTTCCAAGGCGGAATATGAGGTGCTGCTCCTCCAGTTTCCAGGGGGCGTCATTGTGACACTGGAGGAGGCCCAGGATGGACATGTCGTTCAGGGAGTGGGAGGGGGAGTTGAAGTGGTTTGCGACCGGCAGGTGTTGTTGTTTGTCACAAACAGAGCGCAGGTGCTCTACAAAGCGGTCTCCGAGCCTCCGCTTGGTCTCACCGATGTAGAGGAGGCCACATCAGGAGCAGCGGATGCAATAGACCATATTGACAGATGTGCAGGTGAGGTGAGCCTCTGTCTGATGTGGAAGGTTTCTGGAGATTTCTGGAGAAACTTAGCAGGTCTGGCAACAACTGTCGAGAGAGAAACAGAGTTAATGTTTCACATTCTGAAGAAGAGTCATATCGGACTCAAAACGTTCCTCTCTCTACACATGCTGCCACACCTGTGCAGTTTCTCCAGAACTTTGTATTTGTTTCAGATGTCCAACACCTGCATTATTTTGCTTCTATTTAACAGCATTGTGGGAATACCCACACTATGTAGACTGGTGGTGTAATGTTAATGTCATGTGCTTAATAATCCAGATGTCTAGTCTAATTCTGGGTTCAAATCCCACCTTGGTGGAATTTAAAATTCAATTAATAAGACTTGGAACTGTAGCAGTGAAATATTAAGTATAAATTTTGTCACAAAAGCCCATCTAATTCACTAATATCTTGCTTACTTGTTCTGGCACACAGTGACTCCAGATTGACAGCAATTTGATCGACTCTTAATTGCCCTCTGAAATTGTCTAACAAACCACTCAGTTTGTGGTAAATTAGGGATAGATAGCAAAGAGACAACTGGTGGCCTCAGCAGTGACACTCACATCCCACCAAGTAATACATTTTTCAAAAAGGCAACTCACCACCACCTTTGCAAGGGCATTTAGGGTTGACCAAATCCTGGTCTTCCTACTGACAACCTCATTTCACGCAAAATATAACAAAATAATATCATACTAGCAAGGAAACAAATTGCTCTAATGAAAAATATTTTGTTACTGACTGTATTCAGAAGTACTGCAACAGTAAAAGAAACATTTTCATTGTGGTGAATTCGAGGAGATGCATCTTTCCTGGCTAGTACATGAGTAACATTTGTGAATGGGTTGACAGGGTCGCAGCTGGAACCAACAAACATAATTGGGAAGAGCACTGGATTAAAAACCCAACCTCCTTCTCTGACAAACAGCATTCATTAAATTTACAGACTTCATGAATCAAAAACTTGGCAAAGTGATACTTTGCACCACAGAACCATCTAGAAGACAAAAGCAGCCAATTGCCAAAAAAGCTAATATCATGGTTTGAATAGCTTACTGTAACAATGTCTTTAACAATTGTGTCTATAATTGAAACTTGTACTCCCATAGTATCTAATTTTATTGGATGCATTTGTCTTTTTTGATTGGCTGATACTAAAAACTTGTTTAGGGAACCTACTTTGACATTGCAGCATAAGTGATGGAGTATTTTGAAACTTCAATACATAATGTACAAGCAAGTGATGTACAAAGTGCTGGCATCATTCATGCAGAGAAAAAATAATCTTAAAGATTTTACAAGCTTTCCCCATGATTCAAAGTTATACAGGGCCATGATTTTGGTGGAAATCAAACTTAAAATTATTTTCCAATTGATTTTCTCTTTACTCGAGTTCATGAATGCTGACATCTACTGATACAGATTTTGTGCGGGAGCCATGCTTCTGTAACTGCCCCAAATAGCCATTCATTCATTGAGCCAAGGTGATAAATGTTGGCAAAATTAGGCTATTTGAAAATACAGTGAGGTGCGAGTGTCTCTGCCATTGACCGCACATTCCACTTTGTAGTTGAGTCAATGGAGATCTGACTTTCTTCTTTCCAGCTAGTGACTATTGTGTTTGGTGCTCTGTCCATGAGAGATTTGCC